TGTGGTGTGTCGTAGACTGGCTGATCCTGCAAGTACCATATGCTGCAGTGTTCGAGGGCGATCCGTTGGTCATGCGCTGCCGCGGCTGGTACGACAAGGTCGTCTACAAGCTTCACTACTACCACGACGGCCAGGCGGTGCGATACTTCCACTCCAGCGCCAACTACACGGTGTTGCAGGCGCGCGCCAGCGACAGCGGCCGCTACCAGTGCTCAGGCACCATGCGCATCCCGGTGGAGAGCGTGCCCATGTTCTCAGCCAAAGTGGCCGTCACCGTGCAAGGTGGGGAAGGCCCGGAGCCCGGGAGGGAAGCAAACACACACTAGGAAATTCTGGGACAGGAACCAGGCGGGGAAAGGAGGGGCGGACGTTCAAGTAGCTGCCCCTCGGCGGACTTCTCTGCTAGACCCCGGACGCTTTCTGCTGTCCTCAGTGGGGGCGGGTGTCCCTCCCCTTCACACACCCTGGCCTCTTACTCCGGCTGGGGACCGCATAAAAGGGAATGCTCTGGGCACAGCCCCAGCCAGAGCGGCGGCGGCAGTGATGGGGGCGCCGTGGGACTGGGACGAAAGAATGGCTCCGAGCGTCCTGCTCGGTCGCAGCGGCCCCCCTTCTGGGCTGGAGAACCCGAGCCGGACGTCCGTCGGGATGTGACATGAAGCGTCCTGCCTGGTCCCGCCTGGCTTCAAGCCTTCTCCGTTCCTCGTGGACCCGGCCCCTTGCCCCACACTTCAGAGGGCTTTCCTCCCTCCCTTCCTCCGCGTGTACACACAGCCTCCTCCCACCTCTCTCGGTCTTCGGGTGGGCGAGGAGCCCCTGCGGGAAGAGAAGGAGCGGTCGCGGGGTCACCCACCCCTCGCGCAGTCCCAATACGCGACCTCGGCCTCCGGGCCGCCCTCTCCGCAGAGCTGTTCCAGGCGCCGGTGCTGAGAGTGATGGGCCCAGGGGAGACCCGCGGCGCCGGCCACCGCGGGGTGGTCCTGCGCTGCGAGACGCGCCTGCACCAGCAGAAGAGCGACACGCCGCTGCAATTCGCTTTCTACAAGTACAGTCGCCCGGTGCGCCGCTTCGACTGGGGCGCCGAGTACACGGTCCCAGAGCCCGAGGTCGAGGAGCTCGAATCGTACTGGTGCGAGGCGGCCACCGCCACCCGCAGCGTGCGGAAACGCAGCCCGTGGCTGCAGCTCCCGGGCCGGGGTGAGTGACCGCACCGCACGCCCTCCTGGGACGCCCGCCGCCGCCGGCAGCCCGGCCTTCGCCTCTCGGCTCCCACGAGTCTCCCCCGCCCCGCCTTTCCCATCCAGCCACCCCTCCAGCCCGTCCCCTCCTCCGCACCCCTATTCCGGTCCCCTCGGTCCCCTCAGTCTCTTCTGCCGCTCCCCCGTGCCTACGCCCACCCCGGCTCCAGGGGGGACGATTTCAGCCGCGCGTCACTCGGTGTGTGGCGTTCACAGGCTCTCCCCTGGATCTGGCGTCCACCACCGCCCCGGCCCCACAGGCCGCAGCCTCGGCGCCCGGGAATAAGCCGCTTTCCTTCAGAAAACCCCCGGTATCCAGATCGGTCCCATCGGTCACCTTGGTCCCCAACGCCACCTCAGCGGGGCTGCAGTTGCCTGCAGGCAACGCCCCCACTGCTGGGCCACCCGTCTGCGCTGCGCCGACACCCTTGGAACAATCGGCTGGAGCCCTGAAGCCCGACGTGGACCTTCTGCTCCGAGAAATGCAGCTGCTCAAAGGCCTTCTGAGCCGGGTGGTCCTGGAATTAAAGGACCCACAGGCCCTCCCGGAACACAGGGGAACCCCCGAGACCCCCACTTCGCACTTGGCTGTAAGCTCGGGAAACCCAGAGACCAGTGCTGTGGGGAGCTGAGCACTCGGCTCTCCAGGCTCATCCCTCCCTGGTCTCCTGCTTCCGCTCACCTTTCAAAGCCATTTGTTTGCACCGTTTGTTTGCTGTGGTTTTTAAAGTGCCCTTAAAGTGGGGTGGTGGATGGTTTCACATCAGGTGTTCTCTGTAATCTCTTCCTTCTTCTCACAGGAGTCAATAAGGAAGTAGAAACCTGCTATTGACTACTTTGTGGTGCACGTAAGCCTAGCTGTGCATATCTCAGCACAGGCAGTTTTTTGGAAGTTTAAGTTCATTGAGATAAGTGAGCACTTTAGAACATTTTAGGGTCAAGTTGTAGTTATTCACAATGAATTTATTCTCTGTTAATATTAAAAAGACTTTCAGTCCGGTTACTGGTGAGTTTACATCATCAAAGCCTGAGAGGGAAAGGATTTGTGTGGGTCTCCCATTCCTGGATTAAACAGACTTCTGTTAGACTTACCCAGATGCACCTCTGCTACAATGTAGCTGCACAGACTGATGGGCTCTGGTAGAAGTAGGCAGGCCATAAAAACCTTAGTAATAAATTAAACAAGTGGTACTATTTGCATACAGAAATCTCTTCAAGGAAAGTTTACGACTGTTATAGTCTGTTTCTGTTGCTTATAACAAAATACACAGACTTGGGTAATTAGTAAGAAAAAAAACTTAATGCTTACAGTTTCTGAGGGTGGAAGTCCGAAGTCCATGGAACACATCCGATGGCGGTCTTGGTGGTGGTCACAGTGACCAGGGGGCTTGAGGCAAGAAGCTAGAAAGAGATGAGTGGGAGAAGGAAAAACTGGTCATTCGCAAATGGGACAAACCGGTTCCCTGAGCAGGCACGCACATGCGCAGAAGCGGAGACAAAGAAAATTCCAGACAGGCCCCCCACCCCCGCCGGGTGACATTCGGTTAGACAAATGAGTTTCCACCAGCTAGGGCGCCGATCTCTTTAACCAATACCACAGAGATTACATTCAGGGCTCAACCAATGACCAAATGGCATGAATCCAGCTAAAAGGACTTAAAACCCCAGGAATGTAACCATCTAAGCTCTTGAGCACTCCTCTCTTGCTCAAGCCCCACTCCATTTTCTCCGGAGTGTACTTTTCCTTTGCTAAGTAAAACTGTTTTTACTTTTAGTTTCTGGCGTGTTTCATCCAATTCTTTGTTCGAGACACCAAGAACCTGGATCTAGCCAGCGGGACCTGGAATTTTCCGGTAACAGTCTTACATGGCGAGATGTCAGAAACAGAGGAGAAAGATAAACTAACCTGATTCACTCTCTTTTTAAAGCCCTCCAAACCACGCCCACGACCAACATTTTTTTTTTTTTTTTGTCTTTTTTTCGTGACCAGTAAGGGGATCACAACCCTTGGCTTGGTGTCGCCCGCACCGCACTCAGTCAGTGAGTGCACCGGCCATACCTATATAGGATCCGAACCCGTGGCGGGAGCGCCGCTGCACTCCCAGCACCGCACTCTCCCGAGTGCGCCATGGGGCCGCCCCCGACCAACATTTTTAATATATTCATTACAGCACGGTCCTGAAATCTAGTCACCTTTTCAAGGCTCCACCTTTCAATTACCTTAAAAGGATTTCCCACCCTCTTAACAGTCACAGTGGGGATTAAACTTGGGGGGGGGGGACATTCAACCCAAGGCAATGAGAAATCCTCAAAATTTCTGAATTCTCAGTTTTAGCAGCTTTTTTTCTTCCCAAAGAGCCATTCCAACACTAACACACTTAGATACACACATGCACAGATCCATATCCCATACAGCATGGTGACTTTACTGTCACCTGAAAGAAGAAAAGAGAGGCCATTTCAATTGCAATTTCAGGGGTGTGCTCCTGAAATTTTCATGGATCCTTCATGTACCTACTGGAGCCATTGGTTCTCTGCAGGGCTGGTGTGACTTGTCCTCAGAAGGTCTCATTCTCATTGGGCCCATACCCTTCTTCAGTTAAGTTTCACTATTAAGGCTTAGAGCTGAGAACAATTATACCCTCCCATCCTTTACTTCTACTTGATAGATATTCAGGCACAACCTCATTTTCCTTTTCTTTCTGAGTGATTAACCAGAATAACATGAACATTCTTCATAATATTATTACAAAGTCACAAATTGTATAGGGAGGCAGGCCGGCACACACATAAATTACAATGCAATGTGTTAAGTGCTCTATGAAACACTACAGGAATAAATAGAAGGATGCTGAATCTTGAAGGAAGAGCAAAAATTCACCAAGTGGAGATGTGAGAAAAATTGAGGGGTAGGGTAAGTAGGCTGAAGATGTAAAGGCATGGAAACATAAAAGGCTCTAGTGTGTTTGTGGAGCTGCAAATAATTGGGAGTGGTTGGAGAATTATGCGTGTTTATGTGTGTGGGGTGAGGAGGGTGTATTTAAGGGGGGAGGTTGCAGAGATGAATATGGGGAAGCAGGAAGGGATCGAAACATGAAAGACCTGTTAAGAAGTACTTTAGCCTGTTGGATATTTAGGATGGATATTTGGAAGCATTCCTGATATGAGAGCATCAATAAGTCTTCCTGGAGGAGTTTCTAATTTGCAATCAGAAAAGAAGAATCAAATAAAATGATCTCAGTGGACCCTTGCCTAACCCTGAGAAACTATGTCCAGGTCCCTGTAATTCAGTACTGGGGTCCTGAGCTACAAGGGTATTTGTGGCTCTGATTTCCAACTTTCTAATGCATGCTAATCTCACTTCTCAGAACTCTCCTCCTAGGCAGCCTTCTCTGGCTAAGTACACTCTATTTCAGTGCCCAGGCTCTTCCCCCTTCTGAGTTTGTTCCCCTGAGGTTTCTGACATCCCTGATATAAAAAGGAAATGATTATCATTGGTGCCGAGAGGCTTAGTAATCAAAGAACCTCAGTTCATTAAAAAAACAGTTGATCATTTTTTAAGAGTGCAAAAAAAGTGAAATAACCACTTAAAATAGAGCTAGTGTGGCAGTATCTCCTTCATTCACACCTTGTTAGCAGCCACAACATCTTTGTTCCTGTCTTGCCACCTACCCCCATTTAGAACTAGGGATGTGGGGGGTGGGGATGGGGAAGAACAGAAACTTTTTGGTGAGAATGAAAATCATTCATGACTCAAATTTCCTATTGGGGCTAGCAGAATCAACTTTATGCCCTGTAGATGCTACTGTCTTCGGGCCCCCCAGCTCTCATAGGGGAGGGCAGGATCAAGATAATCCCCTACAATATCTGTTAATGATCTCCCAGGAAGACATGCACTAAGGAAATATCAGCTTCATCCTCATCCAGCTTCATGTTGATGTTCCAACATGCATTTAGGGAAACAGAAGGCTAGCTAGCCTAGGCTGCCCAAGGGGAATCTCAGAGTTCATTCCCAAGTAGGAGGAATAGCAGCAAAATGCTGGAGAAATGTGGGGAGGAAGCTGCTTCTCTCTGGTCCTCTAATCAGTTTTGTGTCTCAGACTCAGGCCTCAAACCCTAAACCTGCTGTTGTCCATATCAGATACCAGACAAGGAACCCAAATGTCCTCTAGCAGAGAGCAGAAAGGATCCTGTCAAATTCCATTTGGATCTCAGCCTTACTCTTTCATTTAGTCGCAGTTTCTTATCGTGACTTTATTCTATGGAAAGGGAGAACTCTTTGGGTTCTATACTTATGACTTTTTTCCTAAGAGATCAAATCCATTCTTCTAGGTTAAAGTCCAATCTCCCAATCACACCATATAGAACCCGTTCATGATACACTGCAGCCACACTGACCAATTGCTCGTTCCCCCACGCTACCTTCTTTCATGCCTCCATGCCTTTGCTTATCCTTTTGCCTCAATCTTTATCAGCGGGCTGTACAGGCCTTATGAGCCCAAGCTTCCACATCTGCAAAATGAGGCAAGTAATAGTAACATTACAGCAGGAGACAAACAAACAGACCCTTTCACTGTTAGAGATTTTAAAATAGGGATGCTAAGGTGCTTAGAAGCACAGAGGAGGGAGCCCAACACAGGAGTCCAGAAATCACTTCCTGGAGAGATGACATCTGCCAGTCCCTATTAATGGACTACTAGGTTGTTTCTAAACTTGCTCCTTTAAATTATGGTACAGTAAATACCTTTACACCTATATCTTTAGGTACATATCTGAGTTTATCTGTAGGATAAACTCCTAGAAGTAGAGTTTCTGGATCAAAGGATGTGTCTTTTTTTATTTTAAAAAATATTGCCAAATTATCCCTCAAAGAGATTGTACAAATTTGCACTCCCACTAATTATGCATGTAAGAGCTTCTTCTCCTACCTTGGTCAAGAGAGTGCACCATCATATTTTTTTTATTTCTTAATTAAACTCACGAAAACTTCTTGATTCTTTATCCACTGTTGTGTGCCCTTACTTGAATCCTATCAAGAAAGCATTATTATCCTTGTGTCATGCAGCAGTTCAGCAGTACAGTCTCCCCCAGGGTCAGTGGCCCTATTTGTAATGCTAATCCAACCATCTTCTGAATTGCTTGCTACCTGGTCTGCAGTTAACTCAGAGAAATGCATTCCTGACTATACTTATATTTAATACCTATTTTCTACCCATTAGAGCTTTTATTCCAAGGCAGATCATCATAAGTCTTTCACCAAATTTCCAACATGTACTACAGTTAGCCCATATTGATTTAGTTTGTTCCCTGGTCACTACACCTGCAATGATAATTGATTTCAATGTTTAACATCCAATTCATAGTAAGAAGACTTACATAAATGTACATCCCTGATACAGCTAACATCTGAGACTAAAGAATTGGTATAATACACTTCAGTCTTTTTCAGTTCAAAGAAGCCAATTCCATTGCAGTGATGTGGGAGATGACCATTTTCTTATCACTTAATAGTAAATATTCCCCTAGTGTATCACGGTAAGTCATAGCCAAGCTAATTAGCTTTGGACCTAGAGGGGGCAGAGTAGAGAGGTTAAGAATCCTGGCTCAGGAGTCAATAGACTTGGGTTCAAAT